GTGGGGTGGGGTGGGGTGGGGTTTCTGGTGTGGTGTGGTGGGGTCACTGGTGTGGTGTGGTGTGGTGGGGTGGGGTTTCTGGTGTGGTATGGTGTGGTGGGGTGGGGTTTCTGGTGTGGTGTGGTGTGGTATGGTGTGGTGTGGTGTGGTGTGGTTACTGGTGTCCTGAGTGTTTTTCTCCCTCTAACCAGTGTCATGATTCAAATTCAAGGCTGAATCTTTTCCTTTCTTAAGATTTATTTTTCTTTCTATTCCCAATTACTATGCCTTTTTCAACCCCATTCTGCCTTTTGGTTGACTGCCCTTTGAACCAATAAAGATGCTAAACTCTGGGCCTTACCTTTTCCCTTTTTATTTTCTCCCAAAATTCCTGACCCTTGATAACATCTACTAATCATTAGACTAATTTTTTGTTAGAACTTATAAGAAGGAAGCAAATATGTAGAGATCAAAAGCTATTTTCTGTAGGAAGTAGGTGATAAATAAATACATTACATGTCAATACAGCATGATTAAATGAAATCTTCAATCTTCATGAAATCATACCAGTAAGACAATTGTGCAGTCTATACATAAGGGTAAGTAAGGGAAATACACACTTACACTCTACCACATTTCAATTAAGGATTTATAAATTAGCATATAAGTATGTTCATGGATATATCTATTATCAGTCATGAATTTAAAGATTTGATGGAATAAAAAAAAAAGCAAAAGCTTAGCCTAGTGCTGGCCCGTGGTAAATGTTCTGAAATATCATCCGCCACTCTCATTCCTACACTGCAGGTGTGCCTATGGCTGGACTACTAAGAAAGTGACTCCGAGGGCTGCAGAACTGGGCCAGCAGTCAAGAGTGTGTGCTGCTCTGAGAGCGAGCCTGAGTTCGGTTTCCAGAGCTCCTGGGGAACTCCAGCCCTGTGGCATCTGATGCCTTCTTCTGGACTCACAGGCACCTGCACTCACAGGCACACACACACACACACACACACACACACACACACACACACACACACATTTATACATGATTAAAATAAAGTTAAAATATTTTTAAATGTGATTGTCTTGTACATAATAATAATACAAAAAGGGACATGCCCACCAACTCTCTGCTTTCCTATTGATCTTTCCAGATACCACCACTGTTACCATTGGCATCTGAGTTTGAAAGAGGACAATACGGTACCTTTATGCTTCTTCTTCCCAGTGTTGTGAACTTTCAAAGTTTCCTGTCTTCTGTGAAGTTCTTCTCACAGGGCCATCATGCCTTTTCCATCCACTTCAGGCTGAGATCATTAAAGAGACACCAGTAAAAATTCCTTTCACGCTCGAGGAAGAGAACAATTACCCTCTTCAAGCCTGAAGATTGAAAAACCATGTCGTCTTTCATCAGCATGGTTCACAAGAAAGTTGTGCTGCTCCTTCTTACTTGAAAGGGGCTTGATGTTTTCAGAGCAACTCTAAGTATCAATTAGATGACATCTCTGTGAAGCAGGTCAGTACTTTCATCTTTAAGAGTGGGTAAACAGGACACAGGGAAATAAAATGATAACTTGCCTTACACATCATGTGCTAGCTCCTATTTGAACTGACTTCCTGCCTGGTAGCCCCAGCTACAACAAACAAAATATCAAATACTAATCTGTATATTGTTATATATTGGTGAGTCATCGGGGCATCCTGTGCCTCATACATCTGAACTTCTCATTTCATGTTCTGACTGCCTAAGTGACTTTCCTCCCCAGCCCCTTATTTTTCTAGCTAACTTTTACTCCTACAATATAGTTGGACTCATAAACAGCTGCCTCTGAGAAGCCCTGCCTCAAGTTGCTGTCTCATTTGGGCTCTCCCATTTATTGTTCGCATTGCCTCCTGGATCTCACAACATATTGTGGCACTAAATGGGCTCTATCATAATATTGGGGAAACCAGGATTGCTATCTCCCTGTATTCCCCAGCACAATGCCTAGCACATGACATTGACTCCACAGTCAGGAGAGAATATACTATAATACTGAACAGCCTAAACTTACTTCTCAAGGTAATGGTGTCTTCGCTGTCAGGAGGAGACACCTCTAGAAGTGCCTATGAGGGTTTCCTGAAGAAGCTGTGATGAGAGAAGAAAACCCACTTGGATGACTGATGGTCCAGACCAAACAAAAGGGAGCAAGCTGAGTGCCGTGGCTCATCTCGCTTCGCTTCCTGACTGTAGGAGCCGTGTGAGCAGCCGTCTCACGCTCCACGCCACGCCTTCCCTGCCATGATGGACTGTACCCCCTCAGACCAGGAGCCAAGACTGATCTTCCTTAACCTGCCTTAGTCAGGAATTCTGTCACAGTGGTGGGAAAAGGGACCAAAGTGTGCACTTACTGTACACGCCCACACAGATCAGAAAGGAGGGACTCCGTGGTGTGGGCTGACAAAGTTTCACAGTAATAGAGACAGCAAGCAAAACAAGGGCTCCTATCACATCAGGATACACATAGTATATACACAGAAGTACAAACGCCTGGAAAAGCTGATCTGATGATCGTCAGAGTCTGGGTTATTGCCCAACAGGTCCTCAGTCAGTAATTAATGGTATGGGGAGTCAAGGGGCAGTATACAATGTTATGGCCAAAGATTATAGGAAATGCTACACAGGGTCTCTTAGTACCAGACAAGCATGCCAGAGGCTCTAGTTTTGAAGGGCAATCAGATATGAGGGAAGGGCGGAACCCCAATGCAGTGAAGTAAGTACCACTGTGAGGATAGAAACAGGCTGCACTCACACAAACAGCTTTCCCAGTCCTAGTGGACACTCCAGCTAGCCTTGTAGTTGACTTCAGGGTTCAACCCCCAGATACCTTTTGCTGGATTTTCCTGTTCTTAGGAGACTAGGCCAAGGCTTCAGCAATAAGGACCACAAAGAAAAATATTTTCCATTAATGATTTTAGAAATCTTAAAGCTGATTAATTTACACTCAGGTTTTAAATAAATTTTATTTAAGTTTTCCTTGAGTTATTGTGCAATTTAATGTTTCACATTTAGATACCAGATGTATTTAAGGATCTCTTTTGTATGGATGAAGTATGAGTCTAATCTTGTCTTGCTTCTCAAAGTCTAAAATTTGAATATATTTTCTTAAAAATCCATCATTTGTTCAACTTATTTAAGTTGGTATGGTTTTCATTTCCTATATTCTATATGTAGTTGGATCTATTCCTGGATCTGACATTCAGTTCCAGTGGTCTATTCATGCATCTAACTGCATTTTTTAATTATGGAAGTTTTATGGTATAATTATATCATGTAAAGCTAGCCTCAACTCATTAGATTTTCTTTATTTAGAATACTTAACATTCTTCCATATGAACTTTATGATTAATCTGTCTTCATCAAACAATTTCAGATTATATTTATTGAAATCATATTAAATTAAATATTAGTTTTAAAGAAATTTGTGGGTTTTTGTTTTAAGTTTTTCTTTCCAAAAACAAGGAATGTCTTTCAACTATTTCAGGTCTACTTTCTGAATATAAGAACATTTAAAACCCTTTCCTTAAGTAAATTTAGCACACCTTTCCCTTAAGATTTCTAAGTATTTCATTTCTTAAATTATATAACTTAAGGGGTTGTTGTTTCTATCTGTGTAAAATATTGATTTTTTTTTTAGGTTAATCGAATGTCTACTTCCTTATTTTTAGATTTTGTACTAGCCTTAGCATTATCTTGGGTTTTAGATTACCAACATAGTGTTTGTAATTAAATAGTTTCATTCTTTTCCAATTTTTATACTTCTATTTTCTCCTTTTTGATAGGATTAGTTAAAATCTCTAATCCTGGATGAGTAGCTATCCTTGCCTTGTTCCTGGCATTGACAAGATTGCTTCTAGGGAGTCTTTATATTTACATATATATCCATCGTTATGGGAATTTCTATCAATTTGTAGAACTTGTAAAGTCTAGTCTTGTGTGCAGACTATTGGGGGCAGAACTTGGTATGTGTTTCATAAACACCTTCAGAAGTCATTTGAAGGTAAAATTTCACATTCAACAGTAAGTTAAGCAACTTCACCAATACTTGTTGAGTTAGATTTTTTTGTAGGACCTCTACATATAAAGATAGGCCTCTCAACTCAAGAAGCTTAGTTTAACAGGGGGTAAATCCCTTCAACCCTTCAAAGCAATGGTGCTCAACTAGCTACGGTGTGGCTAGCATGTGATCAGTAGCATTTCTGCTTGAATTTCTCTGAACTGTCTCTACAGTTCATTCACAATTTTCTTATTCTATAAAATTACATCCAACAAGTCTATTATCCTCTGCTTTTTAAATAATTCAAAATTGACTTTCGTTAACTGTCACTGCCCAGTTGAAATTATGATATCCGAGTGAAAATTTTAATTTGTTGAGTTAGGGAAGTAGCTTCCTTGGAAAAGTGCTTACCACTTGTGATGGTCTGAATGAAAATGGCCCCCTAGGCCCATAGGGAGTGGCACTTTCAGGGGGCATGGCCTTGTTGAAGTAAGTGTGTCCTTGTTGTCCACTGGGGGTGGACTTTGGGGTTTCAGATGTTCAAGCCAGGCCCAGTGTCTCACTGTCTTCCTTATGTCTGCCCATCCAGATGTAGACCTCCCAGCTAGCTCTCCAGCCACCATGTCTGCCTGCATGCTGCCATGCTTCCCACCATGATGACAATAGACTAAACTTCTGAGCTCTAAGCCAGCCTCAATTGAATACTTTATAAGAGTTGCATGTTCATAGTGTCTCTTCACAGCAATAGAAACCATAACTAAGACAACACCCGAGCAGGAGAACTTGAGTTTATTTCTTAGCACCCACATAAATAAAAACCAGACATGGCCTTATGCATTTGTAATCCCGACATTAGGGATTTGAACCCCACATCCACATGAGAGACCTTGTCTCAAAAAGCAAGGTGGGTAGCTTTTGTGGAATGACACTGAGGTTGAACACCAGCCTCTCACCCACATGCACATACCTCACAAAATCATATACCCATATGTATATGAAAACGTACACTCATATATATGCTAAAAATCTAAGTCCCCTGCCCTGTCCCTCACCTTGTATCTATGTTTATAGTTGTATGGATTAAGGCAAGCAATATGACTCATTTGGTGTTTTCATAATGATTTTATAACCAAAGGACAAATCAGCTATCTACAAAACTAATTCCCCCAAAATTCTGAAAGTTATGTTTTAGTATTTTTAATTAAATAATTTTCATTTTAGATGTTTTAGACCTACTCCAATCAGACCTTGATGTGAATACTTTTCTTCTTATTGCCTTTCATTATTTTGCATTTCTCATTTTTATACATTTTTGAAGGTGATTGAAAGAAACTCAAATTTGAAGGCTAGTGGAAAAGATATAGTTGGGGTTTGAAAAGAGGAGGATTTTCAACCTAGAGTGTAGTAGAGCGGTTTTTCACCAGACAGACACTTCAAGATCAACGTTTGGTCTCCTTTGCACTTCAGCTTGAATTGGTATAGCCTTATGAGCTGTTACTTGGGCCTGAGGTATCTTCAGTGTTCATCTAAGTTCATCTAAGAACAAGAAAGGTAGAAGACTCAAATCAAGAAATAGAAAGAGAAAGCATGAAGGTGGATGCCTAGGACTAACTATGGATGCTGCACCCTGGGTGGATGCCTAGGACTAACTATGGATGCTGCACCCCGGGTGGATGCCTAGGACTAA